CTGCTACACACAGCATTGACCAGCATTGTGGGCCTGAAATAATCGAATAGTTTAACTTACAACTAATTCTGGTGCCGACTGGTGAGAGTGACAGTGTTAAATCATTTCAGCTAGTGCACATCCCTAGTGTAAATGGTCAATTAAACACATTTATTATCACATTGCCACAGATTGCTTTGAGGAACGTGGTGGTAGAAAGGTACAATTTTCCTTGAACCTTCCTGCACTCTCTTTAGAACAACAAACCCTCTATTGTTCTTTTCGGGCAAGTAATGATAGATCGAGTTTATCAAATTGAATCTCCGCCAATCTCAGACACTCGATAAGGCTCATCAAAATTTGGCCGTTGTTTAATTATTTAAGAAAAGACAAGGACAAGAAGCAGAAAGTCACGGAAGGTTAGGTTTTCCTTTAATTCTTTCTCTTTAGGCAAGCACTGTTCAGTATAAGAATCCAGCCTTTGCTCAAGTATTATTGATCTAGCTGAAGTGAATCTGTCTGCCCTCCTCACTGCTGAAGCGAGGCTATTTGCCATCAAGTCTTTGAGGACATGCGCCATGGGATCTCCATTCACCGCACAATCCTCATCTTGAACACTTATTAAGTTTAGGCTTTCACTCTCTTGTTGATGTTGGAGCCAAAAGACGTATACGCACACACGCACACACACAGAAACAGGAGGGCGTAAGGTAGCAAAATAGGGATATAGAAAGTAGTGTGGGATGGTAGCTGATTTCCCTGGTGAGCTTATATCTGAGCTGTCGTCACCTGTCTCTTCTCCGGGAAAGAGGAGCCTTAATCATGAACATGAAAGTGTCTCCTGTGGTGCTGCCTCCTGTCTCTGTCACTCGCCTGTCTATTACTTGGTATAGACTGAGTATTAGCTAATTTTTTTTTTTGTGTGTGTGGCCATAATGAAGGCTCTGCTTTTTTTTAAAGTGCAAAGAAATTCACATCAAACCCGGCAAGCAAAGATATTTTCAAGTTCAGATGACTAAAATGGCACACACAAAAAAAAAGATGTGTAAAGAGACAGATGTTCTAGGAGTCTTATTCAGCACTTTGATCTTCTTTTTGGCATCCTGGTGACCCTGATTACACTTTTTTTTTTTTTTTATCTCTTCAGCTTGATATTTCCTGACTCTTAATTTGAAAAAACAAAACATTAAGAAAAAAGGATTGCTTCAAAATCAACCTTGATTTTGAAAGGATGACAAGCTCAGACATCAGACAGTTTGGAGTTTTATGGATTTTCATAGACTTTGTGTGATTGGCTTTGTTTTTTTTTACATTATATATAGTATTTTGTCTCTTTCAACAGATGTGTCAGCCCAGTTTGTGGCGAATAAAAGGGTTACCTTTTCATTCTTCTCTAAAAGTATAGTAAGAGAAATCGTTGTCATAGTTACTAGTTCTCCACATACAGCAGATGGGTCTGCAGGTCCGTTGCAACAAAACACAGGTCACCACTTCCTGCTCCTCCCTCATCCTATAGACAGCTGCTGGAGGTGATAGCTTTATGCATGCATGGCGTGTGTTTATCAACGTGAAGTCATACTTCACACCTACTTTTGTTGCAAAGGATTACCTTATCTCTGTGAGCAGCAGGAGCTTTGTCTTCTCCAACCCAACATGTGCGATTAGTTCTCATTGTGTTACAGTGTAATCTGCGCAGATAAAGCCGCTTCCTTAATACAGACTCTTCTCAGAGAAGTTCTCAGAGAAGCTGAACACGGCTTTATTTGAATATTCAAAATGCTCTATTTGAATTTGAAATGTAAGGAGTTTATTATACAGGGAGTGCGATAACCTCTCCAACACGGCGGTGCTTGCAGTGAAATCTGAATTTAATGGACTGTTGTTGTTTATCATTTGTGAGATTCAGCAGTACAGGTTGTGCAGAGATCTCTCCAAGGACGAAACACAAGGAGAACATATGTTGGACCTGCCCGGCCTACTAGATTCTGAAAAAAACATTTATAAGTTTCCTCGGCCATGAGACCACTCCTGGCTCCAACACGCTGAGGATGTAGCACATTATCTAGATCCTGACAGATTCTTTTTGGCACCCTACTTACCTTTCCAAAATGAAATGTAGCAGGATATTATAATAGTTGGCACATAAGTAAAACATGTCCCCATGTCTTGCACTGGCAGCTCATTAAATACCTCATCCTGATAGATTCACCATGTCTCCTTTTTCCGCCACGCATGTACAAGCTTCTCTGTCTCGACCAGAAACGTGCACTTGTAGCCGAAGCTTGTTCAAGCATGAGAGTCGGTTTCATTGGATTTACATCAGAAAGACAAAAACAAGGGAGTGTGGGGCGGCTACATGAGCACGCTGCGTTCACACCAGCAATCGGCATTACCATTTCAGGTGTAACGGGCTGATGTGCACCCTGTTGCCAAAATCAAGGTGTGAGCAAATGTCTGTGAAATGCAGCCTCAAAATTTACAGCTCAGAAAACTTCCCATTTTCTGCACAGAGACAATGAAATACCTTTTCAAATGCTTAAGAAAGGAACTAGTCAAGCATATTCATGAATACAGGAATTCAAATGGGCGGATACCTAGCGTTGTATGATGCAGCAAAACGACTTGGATCAACAGATGATTTGATATGAAGGGCAACAGATTAGATGTGAGGCAAATTTGGTCAATTTGTGGAATTGTTACAGAACTTAGTTTAAATTCTGCTGCTGTAATGGACAAGTGACGGTGCTTATCCCAGTGTCTGGAGAAGAATTCCTGGTTAGACTGTCAGCCGTTGAAATGAGTTGAGGTTTGTTCTGTCGTGTGCTGTCACATTTAAATGTCGCCTAGCCTTATTTAAATGCAGGAGCTGAATCTATTCAGGTGACAGGCTGTGGTATCGGCATTCCTCCAGTAGTTATTGGGGGTAGCTTTGATGCTCACATCTGATGCTTCACAGATAGAGCTCTGAGTGCTGATTATTACCATCAACACACATAAACCACACTCTTTTTTTTTTTTAAGCCCTTTGTTTCTGCTGTCAGTGTTGGAAATCACTTTTATTGTCATTCTAGCACATAAACATGGATATGGAACAAGGAAAACTTGTTATCGACTGTGGTTATGACGTTTTGGAAAATACAACTACAGTACTCACTGTTTAGATGTGCATTGAAAGACACCATAGATCACAAATTCCCATATGTAGCTAATGTGTAGCTACACCAGGAGGCGGTTAGCCTAGCTTAGCATAAAGACTAAAAACTAGGAAGCAACTAGCATGGTTCTGGTTGTTAATCACAAACATGGGTTATCACATATTACATTTTTCAAAGATTAAACAATGTAGGTCTATGAAGTTCATTTGTAAACGTTAGATGTAATGGTAGGAGAAATGTTTCCATTATTAAGGGCAAGTAGAACAATTTTTACATCCCGCTGTTTTAAGCTGGGCTAAGCTATCGGCCAGTAAATGAAGCCTCATACTTAACAGGCACAAGATTAGGATCAATTCTCTTATCTCACTTCCCCCATAAGAAATAAATGTATTTCTTAAATGTCAATTTATTCATTTGTGAAGTGGAAGCAGTGGCCACAGGAAGGCCAATCTTATCAGTGCCAGCAGGAACAGCAGGAAACAACTTAAAATGAAGTACAGCAGAACTTAACATGAGGCAAAACATGCCCTTCTAAAAATCAGATTATTGAATTGTCTGCTGCTTGTCATCTGCTTGCTGTAGCAGCTTCACTGACAGGCTTTACAACTGTCAGCCTCCGACTGGAGGTTGTTTTGGAGCTGACAGTTCATAAAGATGAGTGACAGGTGTCTTGAGTGTGAACTTTGTTCAGCTGAGTGTCAGGAGGACGCCAATAAAAGCTGTTTTTTGTTGACTTGAGGCAAACTATTAGCTGCTGTTGTGTGCTTCTAATGAACTAATGCACCACAAGAGTCAACAATACTTTTCTGAACTTCTGTGGGTGTCTTGATGTAAAAATACGACTGGAAAATGGAGTTTCATTGAGGGAAATGACACAGAGAGGAGAGCAGACAGTAGTGCACCTCCAAACTTGCGTGCTCATTGCGACATCACAAGCAACTGTGTAAATATGCCTTCAGTGTCCCAGTTGTTAGTCTGTTCTAATGCAGGCAATGGTAACCATAGTAAAAGTATTTACTTTCATTCAAATGGGATTCAAATGAGTATCACGCACACAGCCAATGAATTTTCCGCCCTGTCTTTGCACGACTCGGAGCAAACCTTTAAAGTCTGAGTTAAGATGAAAGTGAATAAAACTTTGAGGTTAACATTGCAGATTTAATTGTTTTGTTTTTGTGCATGAGCATAATCAGAAAATGTCAGGGTTGAACGCACACAGATTATTTGAGCATCTTAATTGTTTTGTGCTTTTCCTGTGAATTCTAAATACATTGTTTGTGACTGATCCTACAGATAGAAGCTGGTCGCCCACCACTTTGTTCTCGACAACACTTTGCTGAACTGCTGATGAGCTTTTGAGATTTACTGTCGGATTTATGCACCCACCCATGGGTTTACCTTAGCCTGAACTCGTAGAGGTCTGAAATGTGAATCTGAATACGAAAAAGAAAAAAACACCAGCAACACCTCATTTTCAGTCGGGCCATGGCCCTCTGGCTGTAACCCTTCATTGCTTCATTGAGACACTTCTGCTGGCACTCTCATCCCATCCCCCTCTTTAGCACTTTGTCTCCATGGCGATGTTTTGAATGAAATTTAGGGCAGGAAAGGTTGTTCTCCCTTCAACAGGAGCTGTAAAATTATCAGAAGTCTATAGAAACGGTGGTTCTCAGTGTATGTGGGTTGCCACTTAGTGGTCAATAAATGCCTGTCAAAAATGCACAAAGAAGTTGGACTTTGAAGCATTCAGAATAATAAAGGACTTCAATCTTCAGTCAGAACATTTCAAGCTGTGCTGGGGCTGACCAGATTAGCCCGCCTCTGAAAAAATAATTGAAAATGTGTCTCTGCTTTTCTCTTTCGCAGTCAGCGGTTTTGAGACTGTTATCGGCCTGTACGGGGAGACACTTGAGATCCCATGCAACAATGGAGCCGTAAAAGATGAAGACGTCCTGCTCCTTAAATGGAAATATGTAAGTCACAATGGAGGTCAATGGATTCAAAATGGTGATGTCTGTCTGACACCCACTTATCATGTCTGAGCCACGCCCAGTCTGAGTGCATGTGCCGTGCATTAGAGCATGCATCTGTGGCTCCATATGACACTGCATGAACAGAGGGTGCTTTTATTTGAACTGGAGGCCAGTGCCATATGTGACACAAAGTAACTGGTGCACTCTGCTCTGCTTTCAGGACAAAGGACAGGGAGTTTCAGGAGACCTGCTGGTCAAACAGAAAAACCAGAATGTCTCAATCAGCGCCACTGATGAATATAAGGGCCGTGTGAGCCTGGCTGCAAGCTCCAGCCTGCTGCTCTCTGCGGCCACGCTGAGTGACCAGCGCACTTTCACCTGCATGGTGGTCGCTTCTGCAGACATCTCAGAGTACCCTGTTACTGTGGTGATCAACAGTGAGTCTGAAATAACTTCTACTGAAAATGAGCAGCACAAATCACCTAAAGGAACATCCCAATCATTAACACGTTTTTGATGTATTGCAGAGATGCCGACAGAAGTGGAGATTCATGACAAAGCAGAGGAGCTTGAGATTGGAAAACTTACTAAGGTGGGTTTTTAATGATAAACATTGCTTGTACCTACAGTATTTTAGGCAGTAAACCATCAAGGGAAAGCCCTCACTTGGGCTTAGGTATCTTGAGGCATAACAGCGACCATGTCACTACGGTAATGAGTTCTTTGAAGTGACTCTCATGAATTAGTAAAGAGCAGAATCTCCCCCTGCTTCAATTAAAATACCCAAAGGATCTGAGGAGCCTTAGAAACGCTTTGGGCATTTCATGGTCTGTTGGGTAGAAAAGTGCTCAGTCCTCCACTATTGGACAGGTGGTCAAAAGTGAATTTCCTCTTATGATTAAAAAGATGCAGATTTTATTCTGAAAACATTAAATTGTGATTTTGTGTCTGTTTTTGCCATTTTAATGATTGTTTTTTGTTATGCTTTTTGTTTCACAGCTGGGCACTTGTGTCGCAAAAGATGCAAACCCAGCAGTAAATATCACATGGTTAAAGAACAACAAACCCCTGGTGGCTGATGAGGAAGGTGTGTATTCCTCCTTCTCATGCATAATTACAAATACAACAGCAGCAGCTGTTGTGTTTTTCCTCTGACCCTGACATTTACATTTTGTGTTCATTCTCTGTGCCTGGGCTCTTCCCTGTAAATTATTCTTTCGACAGTATGAAAACAGTGTATCGGTCATTACACCAATGTTTTTTTTTTTACTTCTTCCCTGTGAGAGTTTCAGACTGAGTTGTTTGTTTTTCTGTTCAGGGGTTTCCATCCAGGCCTCGTTGCTTGTAGACCCTGCTACTGGCCTTGTGACTACCACCTCCATTCTGGAGTACTCGGCTAAAAAGGAGGACACGGACGCCCAGTTCAGCTGCAGCACTCAGCAAATTGCGGGCACAGAGCTGGTGTCCTCTCCCGTGACCTTCAGTATAACCTGTAAGTCACCAAACCACACTAACAACAGTCACTGGACAAACTTTAAGAAACTGAAAGATGTTATCTGCAGACCAGCTGGAACTTCTGCACACACAAAGACACAAGTCTGGTTGATAAGCTAGAGCATATGACAAGTTAATACTCAGTGTTATAATAATCCCTCTGATGTCTGTCTTTTCCTCTTTTTTGTTAACCTGATATTTGAAATACATGTTAACACATCATAGAAGTAATTCATGTTGAAACAAGCAAACTGCTATAAGTCAGAAAAATATATATTCTTTCTATTAATCCTTTAATGTGGAGAATATTTCATAGTGAATGTCGACAGAACTCATTCAAATTAACGGTATGACAATGTTGACATCAGAATTTAACTAACAAGTAACACCAATCTGGCTTTTCCAGGACTGTATCATCTGCAACTCCTCACCCCTAAACCTTTAACAAACACAAAAAAAAACCCTCTTTAAATCATCTCAGCTGTAGCTAATGGAGACAAACTTCCACCTGTGTTATATATATTTGACTATAATGACAAAAAAGGCAACAGGAACTTCACCCTTAGTAGTGGTATGTGAGGGAAAAAAGGGGGTTGGATTTTTTTGTGGGATCCACATCAAACGCAGCATAAAATATTGAGGGTACCTGCTCACCGAAGCTTTATCGGTTGTGGAACACTTTCATACAAGAAATGTGGGGAAAAAAGTTTGCCTCACATGGAGCAGAAACATTGAGCTTCGAAAGAATTGCTTGGTCGATTGCCTGAGATTATGACTGCAATTTAAACATCTCCTCAGCTGCGTTTTGAAGTTGGTTATATCGGACAGTGATGCACAAACTTTTCCGCTCTCTGTAGCTTATAGCACAGTCGGTCCCCTGCAGCGAGCTGTAAGGGGAACACGCTCCACTTAATTCACCAAAACATACACCCCATCTCTGACTTTTTTTTAATCTCCCATTCTCCTCAGTCTCCACAGAGAACATCGCACTTAAGGTCATTGCTCAGGACCCTTTGGTGGAAGGAGACAATGTGACTCTGAAGTGTGAGGCTGACGGTAACCCAGCGCCTACCAGCTTTAACTTCCATCTTAAGGTACTCGTCAATATCTCAACAAACACTCCGCTCTCCCTTCTGTCCATGCTCATTGCCAGCTTGTTATCACTTGAAAAATGTAAAATGCAAACTAGTCTGGAGCGACCCCGTTTTATCTTAAGAGCATGATACAGCTAGATGCTAGGCTGGTTAGCTAGTTCCAACAAGCTATTTAAAACATCATCTTGTTCCACATCACACATTTGGCATGAGTTATTGAACTAGCCAACCTCCTGTTTGTTTAACACCGACACAATAGCAGGTTTAGATGTTCCCTATCAATAGCAGCCATCTTGTTCTTAAAGACAAATGTCCTCACAGCACTTGTGTGCACAGTGCATCGCTTTAGATGAACAGTTTTGACTGGCCTGACCTAAATCATTTGAGGTGGAAATCTGTCTGACTTAGAGGAGGACCAGACACACACACACATGTAAATAGAACAGAAGGTGTCAGATCAGCTAGTCAAATTCTTCAGTGTAAACATTAAAAAAGTGTTCTGTTTTTTTTTTTCTTTCCCATCAATAAGACATTATATGCTAATCACCTGTTTGATTTATCATTTTTGAAGGGCGAAGCGGTGAAAGTGGAAAACACAGACAGTTACACCATCATGAAAGTCTCACGCAACTCCTCTGGTGAATATAAATGCTCTCTTGTTGACGACCCAACAATGGAAGCAACTGTGGACATCACAGTACAATGTAAGTGGCAAAAACAAGTATTATTTCTTTAAAGAATTTAACTGACAATCATTTTGCCGCACGCCAGCAGCATTGTGATTGTCACACCCCTGTAATCTTATTTGTTAGTTTAAAGAGAAAAATGACGCTTGAGAAAAGAAAAGTCCCAATGTCTCTCTTTGCCAGCATTTCCTGTCGTGCTGTGCTTTGTGTAGAAAAGTGTTGTGTCAACCGCACCGCCTTTAATAAGCTGCTTCTGCAGTGCTGGGAGCCAAGAGCAGGGTTTTATGGTTAACAACAGGAAAGTTTCGACCTTTGTCAAGTCTCTGAGCCACCCTTTCACCATCGTCTCGTCTCTTTTTAGACCTGGACATCAATTTAAGCCCCTCTGGAGATATCGTCAGGAGTGCTGGTGGGACCTTGGATCTTAATCTTAAGATTGATGCTTCTGGAGACACAAAGGTCTCCTGGACAAAGGTAAAAGCAACCTCAAGTTCAACAAGGCTAAAATCATTGGAGAAGAAAAATGGTGGCTGTTATTGACATTGCTGATATTTTTTCTTTTTTTGTTTAATTCCAGGACAATGTGAAACTTGACAAAGAGCCAAAGTTTAGCAAGGTGAATTACGCACACTCTGGTCGTTACGAGTGTGAGGTGACATTGGGTCTGCTCAGCCGAAAGGTTTCTTTTGAGCTGGCTGTTGAAGGTAAGGAAAAGAAAAAGAAAATCTGAATGTTTACACAGATGTTTTACCTTTTTAAGACCAATGTGAACCACAGCTGGTTAGCTTAGCATAGCTTAAAAGACCGGAAAACAGAACAAACAAACAGGACACACGGCTTGTTAATTAGTATGAATGAAGTGCTGGTGGGTGGACTTTAATATCTTAAAGCTAGCCATTTCCCTTTGTTATTGTTCATCATGCTAAGCTAAGCCAACACTCTTATTTATTATTTATTTTATTTATTTATTTATTTATTAGTACACATATAAGAATACATCAGAATAGGATTAACAAAAACATAAAAGTTGTGTCAGGAGAGGTCAAGAAGCCATCAGGCTTATACACGGGACCTCACCTCTTAAGAGACAAATAAATCAACTAAACAAATCGAATTACACAAAACAAAATTAAATATAAACACATATACAGTAACCTATACATGCATTCATACACACACACTTAGACACATACATACAATAGAAAGACTGAGAATGTTAACCCTCTATCAGCTAAATGAAACAGGCATTGATCTATTAAAAATGGAGTGAACGAGTGAGTTCATACTGTACAGTCTTCTAAGCTGACCGTCAGCAAAAAAAAAAAAAACCCTCAATGAATAAAAAGCAACCATGACAACATCATTTTCTCATTCAGATGTATCTGAAGAGTTCCGTCCTGTTACAGGTGCTCCAGTTATCAAACATCTGACCAAACGGCGCAGGGATGATGGCAAATACAAAGTCCTGATGTGTGAGGCTGAAGGTTCACCAAAGCCAGCTGTTTCCTGGAGCATCAACGGCACCTCGGTATGAACACTCAGAAACAATCATTATGATGACAAGTTTTGTCCGCCATGATGTTTAAGTTAGGACACTTTGGATTTGGCAGGATGGTTAAATGTTTCACACATTGAATAAGCTTCTTAAGATTTAGTTTATAGTCACATCCTGTGGTGGCTGAATTTGAATGCATGTTAGGCATACACTGCTGCTGGGGGAAAAAAGTCCCCATAATTCCCCGTTGTTTGGAAGTGGTACGTGGACAAACATTTTGAAGTTTGAATCCTTAAGAGTCCACTCCTGGTGGATTTAGTGACTCGTGGTTACCGTAGTAACAGTAAGTTAGGTTTAAGACTATAGCAAACACTTGGTGAGCAGCTCAGTCACAAACACAACAGAAGAGCAGCTGGCGCGTGTGTTTTCAGTGCCACATAGAAAACTTGTGATTTGATGAACAAGTTGAGAGGTTTTGGAGTCATCAAGTTAGAGTAAAGCTGGATTTCATGCTGCATTGTGTCCTGTGAATCCCTTGAGCAGAGACAGGCGGTTTGAATCCCTTGTTGGTATGACAGACTCAACCACTAACAATCATAATGAATGTATGCAGAATAAAGAAGTGAATGGAAACATTGAAAATCCGCTTTTGCTCAAAATACGGCAGACCAGAAATTGAATCTCGGGTATTTGTTAACGTGGACCTTCAAGTACAGTACGGTTAAAAATGAAATCTGTATCTCTCCTTTTGACGCCTTGCACTACAACAAAAATGGCAGAATTGTTGCTAAGGCTGCTTATTTAAGTTTGTACTTCAGCAGTTGCACAAGCTGGATAATATAGCAAGTGGAATGTGAAGGTTTACACTACTTGCCTCATGTTTAGTTTTTAAGATCTTATCCACAGAATATTTGGACAGGATCGCCAAGGTTAGTTTCACCCAATCAAGCAGTTTCTCTATCACATGTGATGACGGGAGAGTTTGGCCCATGTCCTTGTTAAGTTGTGTTTTCTGACATCGTTGAATGATTAAAAAAACAAAAAAACAAAAACAAGGTGGTTGTCAGCTTAAAAGTGACCACACATCTTTCTTAACATCCCCCTCCTTCACATTTAAAGCTAAAATTAAGTCTTTCAGATGATTTGAAATGTTTCTGTGAAGCAGACATTGTTTTTTTTATCAAATCAGTGCCGGTTGTCAGAAATTTCATTTTATGATGATGGTCTTCAGATGTTAGCAGGTAAAAGGTTCATCCTGATGTATCAGCTGCAGTGACACTTGAAGGGGAACATCATCTTAATGTTGGAAACAAAGTAGCCAGAGATATAATGTTGTTTACTTCTTCCTGCAGCAGATGGTTGGATGATTGATTTTAGCTTCTTCTGTGCATTAGGACTCACTTTGTATTTTAATGCTAAATAGGCTCGCAATTATTTTTTTATTCACTGATCTACTTTTAATATGATGTCGTGTTTTGTCTGTGAGTAAGATCAGCAGCAAAGGTGTGGCTGAACAAAGAAAGTCGGTTTCCCTCTGGATTCTGAAGAAACCAAACAATCTGAGGGTTGTCAGTGTATTGATTCTAAGACAGTTCATGTTTTGCTTTTTGCCACTCAGCCTGCACTGCAGAGTGAGTGAACACTCCCTGTTATGTACATAGCTGTTTGCACTCTTAAGTATTTCCCCGAGCTGTCGCACTCCTGAACTTATCTCGTCCAACATTTCCAGGTGGTCGTGCTCAGTGTTTGGAAAGATCAGTCGTCTTTATTTTCCCCACGGCTCAAACAGTATTTCACGACAAAACTGTCATTTTAACAGACCTTTTTTCCCCCCTCCTTTGTTTCCGTGGTTTACCTGTGTGCACACTGGTTTCATATCCATTCAGTGAAACAGTTTGAATTACATATGCACCTGAGGCTGTGTGTGGGATGGTTAGATTCTTTTCAGCTTTTTCAGTCAGTATCTCACCTCAAAAAGAACCTCTAAACCTGAACCTGTGAGCAATATTTAATCAGCTCCAAAAGGTGCACTGAACTCTTTCACCTCAGGACAATGAATTATGGAGATAAAGCACATTTGTACATTTCACTCCAAGTGTATTTATTCACCCCTCACTTTGTCCTTTAAAGCTTATTCAGAGAGAATAATTCGTTGCTCACTAATGGGTATTTACAAAAATGCCTCATCCCCCCCTATAGAGGATGTGAAAAGGGTGTTGGCAGTTTGTCTTTGTGTCTGAGGTTTTCCTCCGAGACCCAAACTGTCTACATCCCACAGGCGCACACGCTTTGTCATGGAAAGGCTGAGCCACACAACAATCCAATGTCGCCCCCTAGTGGAGCTAAATATACACCTTCTTTTGGTGTCATGACAGGTGTATAAATCAGATGTATCCAAAAATACTAATGTTTTTTTTTTTCCCTCTTGTGGTTCAGCCCAGTGAGAGTGACTATGTCAACGGAAAGATCACACACACGATCCAAGTGGTGCCCCATGCAAACCTGACTGTTTCTTGCACTGTATCCAACGAGTTTGGCGTGGATACCAAAGCTATAAATGTGTCATCTTGTAAGTACAAAGTGGTGGTATTGATTCATTGATTCCCTTCAACTTGAAATAAACAAAGAGATTAACAAAAGATAAAACGCCAAGACTCAAAAATTAGAAAATGATAATAAAAAAGAGTAGAACTAACTAATATTAAAAGAATCTTATTTAATCAGCTCATATGGCGCTGTAGAGATCAGCTATCTCATCAGTATTGTTCTATCGTCTCTCTGCTTCATTATTTTCTTCCTGGAGCCGAACTCCTTAGTCTGCCTTTGTGGATGTTTTTCCTCCTGCGCCCACTAACTCTTTCTGTCTGCATGTTCACTCGACATAATGTAAAGGTGCTTCTATAAAATAATAACGTAGCAACTGCATACTTGAGGTTAAGCTCAAGGATATTTTTTTTATCAAGCGATGAAAAGAAAAAGGATCTTTGAGGCCAAAAGAAAACTTTAACTCATAATGTAGTACCAGAAAAAGACGTGCTTTAAAAGAAAGGCATAAAAAGAATATTAGATAAACTTGAAGTTATAATTAAAGCAGGTATGGGTATGGATAGATCTGTTTTTTATGGTGGCGGTGAGTAAAGGTCTAACCGTGAGCTATCCTAAAATCCTTGTCAAAATGTTACTGATGCATGCACTTAACTCTTTGTGCACATGGTGTCCACATGCATGCAGTGCAAACATTCATTCTCTGCTCTGCGCTAACTCATTCCTGTGCGTTTGGGACGGCATTTCACCTCTCTTTTCCCCCCTTCTTTTGGCGTGTGTATGTATGTTGGGATGCTGGGTTTAAATCGGTTTCCTCTCTGAACTTCTTGCATGCCTCAGTAGAATAGAAGTAGAGCAGTAACTGGTTTTTGTTTTTAGTTTTGTTTGGACGTTAATTTTGATTTTATATCTGATTTCAGTAAATGAGGAGGTGAGAATGGATAAACAAGGTAAGTTCTAGTGGTCTTTTTGCTCATAAGAAACGGTGGGAGGGGGGGGTGAGTACAATGTTGGATACTGACGAAGGATCAAACATTTTCCTTTGACATCACCTTGGACTCTACAACTTGGAAATCAATCTTTAGACAGTGTGTTTTTTATTAGTACAAGGCAGATATAAGAGGAGTGGAGCTACCAGCATCCTGACTAAATGTCAACATTGTTCATAACCTCATTGGCTGATGAAACAAGTCACAAACGAGAACAGATTTGTCGTTGGACTCAGTGGGTCATAACCATGTACAGTGTGGATGTGTCCACTCATCAAATGCATTTATTGCACATAGTGACTTCTGCTTCTCTGTCTGCACATGCATTCAGGCTGGAGTGATACGATACTGGAACATGCAACCCAGGGGACTGACGCTCTCTTTTTATGTTTTTCACAGACTCTTCAGACGACGGCGACCAAACAAAGCTGGTGGTTGGAGTTGTAGTTGGTCTTCTGGTTGCCGCCATTGTTTTAGGCCTGGCGTACTGGGTCTACACCAAGAAATCCAAGTAAGAAGTCAACACTTAGCCTTTAATAAAAATCATAGCACTGTAAAATCACAGCGACCAGGAGTCGTAAATTCAATAATTCTATGTGGCCTTGATGAGTTCACATGGCCATAATAGTCAATAGCTCCCTCACATGTGAAGTTGAAACACTAAATTCTTGTAGGGTCTTTTTACTGTCACTGTTCACAGGCCTTCATTTACACAACCTCCTGCAATAGAGACGTTCACTTGTTCTTTTCCACAGTACATTATCAGTAACGCAGCTTTTATTTAGACTCAACAACCATTTTTAAACTCCTCCATAAGCCTCAGTAAAGTAGATACTACAAGCTAGTTTTATTTTATGTGCACAGTAAACTGAAACATGATTCAGGTAGTGCACTGGGCTTCATGGCCACTTGGGGGTTTTGTAATCAGTGCAACAACCAAGTAAGGGAATTTTGCCCATTTAGGAAAAGCTTCTTGGTCATTTTTGTGACCAAGTCATTAACACACAACCTACTATTTAAGGCCCTGTTATCAAGTATTCTGCATACATGTAGTTGGCACACAATGACTCTGAAGGTAAAGACTATCGTTTTCCAAACAGGCAAGGAAGCTGGAAGACCGGTGAAAAGGAGGACGGGTCTTCCGAGGAGGAGAAAAAACTGGAGGAGAAAGTTGAAGAAAATAACCAAAAAGCTGAGGTGTAAAGAAACAGCAACCATCCTTAGGGAATGTGAAAGGTATACAAAAAAATAAAGCATTCCCGTGTTATGCTAAAACACAGTTAGAAAAAGCCAATCTTCTTGACTAACATGTTCTTTTGATTCTCTCTTTCCAGTGAAAACATGGAACTTTTGCACATTTCTCTTCACCTCTGTCTTTAGGGGGGGAAAAAAAATTGAGTGTACATTGGGATGAAGACGGTTTGGATTTGGTTTCAGGGAGAATTTTACTAAAAAAAGCATATCCAAACAAACCCCCCGAACCCCTTAAACCCACCATTCCTTAAAAAAGAAAACTGAATGGATACTGTACGTTAAATACATAATTTGTCTGCACTACTGATACATGTGTAAACCTGTCAACTATTAGGATTCATGTTTGTTATAATGGAATTTGGGAAACTGCTGGCTTTTGTTGATTTAATTAGTTGATGAAAGTAAATACTACTAGACCAGTTGCCTTTGCTGTAAGGACGTGTAGGCTGCCATTAGTCTGTGCTTGACTCTTTAACATCCCCACTTTTACATTTTAGTCTAAACAACCTCTGCCTTCAACATCACTGTACTGAACCTGTTCATTTTGTCATATTGTTCATTTAGGTGTAAAAATCACGTTGATATTGAGATGAAATTCCTGAAAGGGCTAAGGGTATATTGTGATACTCAGCGTTAGTTGATAGACGGTTGTATGATTTACATGATGCATTGCAGGAAGTAGCTGATGTGCCACAGAGTTCTTTGGTGTTACATGATTTTTGTTTTTTTTGTTTTTCGTTCATCATGTGTGCGTCCTTTTCTTCAAAGTAACGAGGAGAGGAGAATTCTGTTTTCAAATGTACTGTACATTCAACATAACCACTGTATAACACAAGCAGGTAGATTATTAAGAGAATGTAAAGCATAGCTCATTTTACTGTCTGACATAAAGACATTCTTTCTCATGCTTCTTTTAAATGCTTAAGGATTCTTTTTTTTTTTTATCGTGAATTCTCCACCAGTGTTGAGGTATGATTGTTTAATGTGAAGTTTATTGTGAATACATTTTTTTTTTGTAATACAACTCAAAGAGAGGGCGAGGTGTCCCGTCTCTAAGTAGCCGTTATATGTTTGCCTTCTTTTGAAAATCTACCTGGACTTCCGTTTTTTTGATGTGCACTAGCATTCATGTTTTCATGTCAGGTTTGTGTAGAATACAATGGAATACAAGCAGCTGTACATGTCACATTGTTGGTCCTTTAGGAGCATTTACAACATTTGGAAAAATGGATCAATACCAGGATGTCATTGTGAAGTTTGTGATTTTATTTTTCTCTTTTAGCTATTTATATTGTGCAAGATAAAAAAAAAAAAAAAAAACATCCTGGTAGGCAAAATTCTATCATCATAACTTGGATTTAAATTGTTGGTTAATTGCTTGCAGACTTTGCAAACTAGAAATAAGTTGTGAGTCATGAGTAGGTTGCTCGGCGTCTGGTTGAATATAGATTCAGCATGTGATCATTTCAGACCTCCAAGCTGCTGTTTGTTGCCTACATTGTTGAAAACCATCAAATTGGAAGAATGACCAAAGAACGTGAACATTGCCATGCAAGTATTGTAAATACCTGATGTTTGTTTTTGTACTTTTGTTTAAAATAAAGTGTACATTTGGAAAAGACATGGCCCCTGAAGATTCATTATGTTGTCTGACAGGTTTCATCTTAAAGAGTAAAGACAAAGAAAAGTTTGTCATTGATGAAGAGAAGGTTTGAAGACACAGTGAGCTGTCAGTGTACTGATTTTTTTTTTTATCACAATATAGAAAATCACATTTAAGAGGTGTTTTCATTTCAAAAAGACTTAAATCAATGTTAAGAGAACTGTCACTTCGCTATATAAAAGGTCATGATTTTTTATTATTTGTTTATTTCACTGTTTTTTAAAAAAAAACTGTATTATTTCCAAGTTTAGTCTAGAGTGTTTCCTGTTTTATTTTGTGGTTGTTGACCCTGTGTATCATGTGTGTCCTCCCTTTGTCTCCCTTTGTCTGTTTTCCCTCCACTTTGACTGCAGTGATTAGTTTCACCTGTGTCATGTCTGCCAGCAGGTTTAAATAGCAAGGAACAGCACCCAAGTGCTAAACTGAAGAGAAAAGATGTATTAAGAAAAAAAAAAAGAAGACAAAATGCAAAAACTAAGGCTTACCTTTTCAAGTTCCTTCAAAAGTCCAACTAAAAATCCCACAGGAGGGGAAAAAAAACAAGCGCCACAAGGGCTACAAAATAAAACAGGAAACATTGGAAAACTAAAACTTTGAATTGAATCTGACGTGCTCACAGTGTGTCGGGTAAAGGGTGCGCTGTAATATGAACAAATTATAGAAAAAACAAGGCGGACGAGCTTACCTCTGTTTGGTAGTGAAGTGGTCTCTGAAGTAGTTACAGGCACACTTGTGGGCGAGAACACTGAAAACAAATCAGGATTATCAACAGGAAACATACAACACAAGCATACAAATGACAAAATGAAACAGGAACTCACAACAACAACAAGGAATAAACAAACTAAACTAAGAGTAAATCATGAAAAGATCAGTAATTATATTTTTTAAGACCTCATATTTTAGTTAGAGGGAAATGTTTCAGGATCAGCAGTTTACCAGATCTGGTAATGGTTGGATGGATGGACATTTCATAACCATTAAAAACTTACTAAAAACCTAACTTTGATCTTTACATAAATAGCCAGTTAAAATGTGTGCTGCCTAGAGGTGGCTATTCAGTCGCTCCCTGCTACGTGCTAAGGCTAGCTCTTTTAACTCAGTAGAATGCCAAATAGAGCAGCAAGAAATTCAGCCAGTCTCACAGATGACTGGAGTATGTATTAAGTCATAAATAGACTTTGAATCCATGGGGCAATGAATACAGAATCGATTTGAATGGAACATCGATTCTGAGTCGAATCGTGAGCCCAAGAATCAAAATCCAATCCAACCGAGAGACACCCAAAGATTCACAGCCCTAGTGCTGCCATATCTTTGGACAAGCTGTGTAGTGTGTGTGTGTTTCTGTGTGTGCAGGAAAAAGGATTACATGATGCTTATAGTGTGCAGATAGGTTAGTTTGGAGCTGTTTAGTTTGCAATCACGAGTTGTATGAGGATTAATGTTATTTTAAATATTTGATGTGCATGTTTTTGGCATCGTATACTTTTTTATATGTGGTTTAATAGAGGTGTATAACAATGATATTAATAGCATTGTCTTCAGTTTGTTTTTGTTATGGATGAATTCAGCCCAGAAGAGAGGGACGCTCTTTTAAAACTGACACTTTGCTCAAAGGCAGCTGGAGACAGCAGGTGCAGAGGTGCTCATACAGGAAGGTGTCTCCTCCTTTTCCTCCTCCTCCTCCTTGTAATCTTTCTTTACTGCAGGATCATTCACTCTCTTCAAGTTTATTTTTCACATTTTTTTATTGAAAGTTGTTCAGGGGACTGGGTACTGGATTCTCAACCATCCGATGTGGGATGCACCAAATCATGCAGGTCTTTCTCATGTGAAGAGTGAGCATCTTTAGGGTTGCCTGAATGTGAAAGCCAGAAACTGAAAGCATAAACAGTTCAGCAACTTCTTCATCTGGAGAAAGCAACCAGGTATCTTTGAACTCATTGTGTACATAATCTCAGGTTGAATGTCAGAGGGTTTGGGGCTTGAAGGTTGCAGATGTGGCAGCAGCCTGATAAACTTTTCAGGAACATCATCCTCCAGATGAGGAAACCCTATTCTCTTTCAGCACAGGGACCTCAAGGATTTCAGCAGTTTAAGGCACATCCCAAAGGCTTGGACGATCTGGCTTCTGGCAACAGGTCTGGATGCTTTGTTTCAGTGAGGTCATTCAGAGAGGGACTCTCAATGTTTTTAATATCTGAGTATTTCCTCTGATCAGACCCACATGTCCAGCATGATGTCGGCAATTGAATGACCTCTAGGTAATGAATCCACAGGACGCATTAGCTTAGCTTGAGAAGCTTCAGATGAGTTTAATTTTCTGGACCTTCCACTTTATTCTTCTCATTGGGACTTCATCCCCGGCATCAAAATTGTAATTTACAAAATGCACAATCATCTTCTTTGTCTCAGACCTTACACTCTGGAGAAAGCAGTCTCCTTAAAGTGCTTCTTTTAAAGTTCATAATTCTTTTAACCGTTAGTTTTGAAGTCTTGTGCAGTGGTTCTGGTCTAACTTGAGGCCTTAATGCAAAAGATTTATAATAACCGAGTTTAATCCATGCATGTTGTTTGTGTGAATGTCTGTTTGTTCCATTTGTTGGATCTGCCCACTGTGGTGAAACACAACATTGTAAGAAGATTTGGAGAGGCGTCACTCACTCAGCTTTCAGTTTCTGTCGGTTTTGGCGCCCCCTGTGGACAGATTTTTTATCCTGTACATGCATACGTTTGTTCCTGATCTCATCCTTACGGTGGCCGGTAGGGGTCAAACGATCAGCCACTGATGAAACGACATACATTTAGAAAAACTCACAGCATATATAGAAAGCAAACGCAAACTACTACAACAAATGCAAAGACACAAACGCGCTGCAAATAGGCAAAACAACTGAATAAGCATGAAACGCGCTGCAAGTACAGAAACGAAACTTAAGTCAAAACACACACAACCAGAAAACAACTGCAAACACAGAAACGCTGCAAGTTAATCCTTAAACGGAAGTGCTCCAGGCCTGTAGGGGCGCTGTGGAACTGTTTATTTCGATTTATTTACGGGATAGAGATAAGAGAGACAGCTAGGAACAGAAAGTTATGTTTAGATAGGGGAAGTTGTATCGTTGAATGACACAGGATAACTTCAATGTTCCTGAAACGCAGAGATAAAGCGAGTCCGACCGGGATGCCCGGAGCTATTGCTAGCTTTGGGGCTATGAGCTCCAGATGCAACTCATCCCTCTGCACCCGCTTTACCAGCCTGACACTTCGTGCTTTCACCATCCCCGGTGTCCGGGTTGAACTCATCTCTTTGCAACAGTTTAACATTACTCCCTGTCATCAAACACTGACACTTCACCCACGGAGAGCCCTCTGCCCCGGGCCTGACAAGTTCAAAATCCTGGCAGACAGAAGTCCCGGGCAACAGTGCCGGTAGCCGGGCAGCCAACTTAGCAAAGCTACCGCTCAACAAGACCTCATTTCTCAAAGTTGTGTTTTCCCCCCTACATGTTATAAAGTCGTGTTTGTGCACAATAGAACGTGGGGCAGAACCCCGGCGGAACGCTGCTCCGGGGGATTCAATGAGAGCAGCCCCGGTACGCTAGGAGACAAGCCCCGTACCATGTACGGTCCTCCCCGGAGTCAAACAGGACGTTTGTTGTTTTATTATAGTTTAAAAACGGTGGGGACCATCGGCTACATGGTGCCAGGCTTCTCCTGGCGTACCGGGGCTGCTCTCATTGAATCCCCGCTCAGGTCGCTCACAGATGCGGGAGGGAGACGGGGAGGTGAATTTAATTAAACACCACCGGAGCCACAAGACTCCTCTCACTGGAGCAGCGTTTCACCGGGGTTCTGCCCCACTTTCTATTGTGCACAAACACGACTTTATAACATGTAGGGGGGGGGGGGAACACAACTTTGAGAAATTAGGTCTTGTTGAGCGGTAGCTTTGCTAAGTTGGCTGCCCGGCTACCGGCACCGTTGCCCGGCTTGAGTAGGCTACGGGACTTCTGTCTGCCAGGATTTTGAACTTGTCAGGTCCGGGGCAGAGGGCCCTCCGTGGGTGAAGTGTCAGTGTTTGGTGACAGGGAGAATGTTAAACTGTTGCAAAGAGATGAGTAGCGAGTTCAACCTGGACACTGTCTTTGCAGCGCGTTTCAGCCTTTGTATTTGTTGTGGTAGTTTGCATTTGCTTTTGAGTGTGCAGTGTTTCTATATATGCTGCGCGTTTTTCTAAATATATGTCGTTTCATCAGTTGCTGAGCGTTTGACCCCTACCGGCCACCGTACATCCTACTTTATTTAAACAGTCAAATGTGCGAGTGTGTAATCAAAGGCTTTCAGCAGCATGCTGTTACTCATTTTGTCTGACACCTATCATACCCCACAGCAAAGTTAACAAACATCTAAAAGAGTACTTTTCTTTGTTAATTTGTAAATCATCCCATCTGACACCTAAACTCTGCGGCTGCGTTTACACACATGAAGCACTTTACTTTGTAAAAACTCTAAATGTACTTTTCTTCTCATTGGACTATCACTTTATAGGAACATAATATTAACACAACCTTCATTCCTCAACAATAATATCATATAATATCAAGCTTTTGCTAGATTTAATGAATACATTATTGATAATTAAAAACCAGAAATGATTTGTGTATTGTAATGTATTAAGTGGATACCCTCCATGATATAATGCAGTTTAAATAAGCTCCGCCTTGAAAGAGTTGAAACATTTTAATGCTGCATAATGTGGAATAAAACTCCAATAAAACAGTTTATTGGAGACATCAATAAAAACGAAGATTTGATTCAGAGTAATTCATGTTTTTACTTTTACATGCAGTGTGATCATTTTTACACTGTGGAATAGTTTACGTCTTTATATTTCTTATTCCCCTGTATAAACTTTAAACCCTATATAGGGCCTAAATAAGCCACTGAGTGAG